AAGCCTCTTATAACTATTTAACTTTATATCATATATTTATTTTATTTGTTACCTATCTTTCCTACTAGAATATAGGGTCCTCAGGAGCATAGACTACATAGATCACAATGTGAGTGGTCCCTCTGGAGTCAAATAGTACCATCCAGCCTGAACAGGAGCTTTGTCTCTTCTCTTTTCTTTACACAGTTATCCCCATCAATCAGAACATTACCCAGCATTCACTTGGTCCTCAGTAAATATCTGACAATGAATAAGTCTTTACAAAGAGGGCATTGTATCTGACCAATCCTTTTTTGGTGGTGGAGGGTGGTCTAGTGTACTTTAAACAGAGAGAGAACAAAAAGATAACTAGAAATAATGAATCATTTAATGTTATCCCATTAAAGTGTTATGTAATCACTTGGAATTAAATATAGATGAATTAGTGTTCTTATGTTCTTTCTGCTTTCACTTGTGATTTTAGGGATCAGAGGAAGCAGTTCCAGGTACTTGTGGAGAACAAGTTTTATGAATGGTTGATTAATACAGGACATCGCCAGCAGCTGGACAGCCTTGTCCCTCCTGCAGCAGGCTCCAAACAAGCAGCAGGATAGGGATCCTACATCAAAATACTGGTAGGCATTTATAATGTACACCACTTAAAACATTCTTTGGGGGAAATCTTCCGAGTGTAAATAAAATGCACAATATTATATTATTAAACATTGCCAAATGTTTTCTACCACTCCCACCAGTATACACAGACCTTTACATACCCGTATTTTTATTACCATATTTTATAGTGAAAAGACCAACCAAAGTGGAGCCTGTAGAAATTTGGGCAAACACAATAGCCAACTTTTAACTTTTTTGCTTTTTGCGTGGTACAAGTTGTACCATCCAAAGATAATATAACTTCTCAGTATAGGATTGGTGCCTAACGAACTGATTCATCCATACCATGGAATGCATCTTTAAAAATAATGAAGTTTATCTGTATGTGCTGATACTGAGTGATCTCTAAGCTCAGGGGAAAAAGTAAAATGTTGCTTTGTGTGTTTGAAAATAGAGAGGGATTATCATACGTATTTATATACTAATCGTATGACTAAACTTTTTGAAAAGATATAAAGAAATTGTGAACAGTGTTTGTCTTTGAGAAATGAGACTGGATATCTATCTAGGGTGGGAAAAAACTTATTCTTCATTTGTTTTAAGATTTAATCACATAAGATGTGAATTAAAATTCACCTTTTTAAAGTGAAGAATTTAGTGGCTTTTAAATATATGCAAAGTTTGGGCAACCATAACCATTAATAAATCTAGAACATTTTCATCATCCCCAAAATAAAGTCCATTGGCAGTCACTCCCCATTCCTCCAGCCTTCTATATCTCGTCTTCCCCTCAGCCCCTGGCAACCACTAATCTACTATGTCTATTCTGGACATTTCATATAAATGGAATTGTACAACATGTGGCCTTCTGTGTCTGGCTTCTTTCACTTTGCATGTTTTCAAGGTTCGTCAATGTTATAGCATGTATCAGTACTCCATTCTTTTTCATAGCCAGATAATATTCCGTTGTGTGGATCTGCCACTTGGTTTATCTGTTCATCAGTTGATGGACATTTGGGTTGTTTCCACTTTTCGGCTATTCTGAATAGTGCTGCTATGTACATTTGTGTAGAAGATTTTGTGTAGACATATTTTTTTTTGTTTTTTTGTTTTTGTTGTTTTTATTTCAGGGTATTGTGAGGGTGCAAACATTATGGTTACATGTTTTTATTTCTCATAGGTATATATCAAAGAGTGGAATTGCAAGGACACATTCTCACTTTTTAAGGAACTGCGGTTTTCCAAAGTTGTGAAAATGTGTTCTTTATTGTTTATTTTACATATTACTTACATTTTAAAGTATGTATTGTTAAAAAATTTCTTTTACATTTAGTTAATACGTGCTGAGATTAAGAATTAGAAATCTCATGGGGATTATACAAAGGAAATGGTAAAAATTTTACTTTAAGCCTGCCAATATTTTATGTCTATGTATGAATTTCTTCTATTATGAACTTATGTGACACTTAGAAAAAAGGAATATAATTAACTTAAACTATCATCTGACCTTGATAATTTATGTGATTGTATAAATGCATGGTTCTTTTTCTTACTATTTGCATGAAGGCAATAGAAAATTGTTATTAATTTTTCTTTTGTTATCTTCAGGGCCCTGTGGAAGCATGAGGATGAATGGAGGATGCTGCTCATCTTGAAACTAAATTGGGAAGGCACTCTTGCTGCTTAAGAGATGTTGGGGCTTCTTCTTCCTATTTAAGACTTTTTGATTTTCCTTCCACATTCATTTATTACTGTTTAGGTTGAATTTTAGCTAAACTTCTGACTTTCATATAAACATGTTGTTTATAGAATATCAGAAGACTCATCTTTATGATGCCAAAATGAAAAGTTGATGAAAGCAGTCCTATTGCATATATGTTAATATTAAAGTGATTGAATGTAGATTTGGAAGTGT